GGGGTGATGGTTGTTTCTGGCCAACCCCAGGATGCTCCATGGCCCAGCAGCGACCCCCTTGGGCATCACGCAAGGGCACAGGCAAGCAGTGGCCGTGGCAAAGCAAAACAGCAAAAAGAGAAGATGCCACCTCCATCCCCACAGGGAGTAGCCACACACTGAGTGTGGGGGCCCTGACACACCACTTAGCCTTTTGGGGGATACCTGTGTGTGAACAGGCTGTACCCCCCACCCCATTTCCCACCTTCTCTCTGGGAGAAAAGCAGTCCAGAGCCAACACAATCTTTCTGGCAGGGGTAAAAGCCCGGCTGTGAAATGAGGCATGCTCATCCCCTGCAGTATGATGTGGTAGCCAACTTCACAGCTTGGAAAGCGCCAATGGCCCAATCCATCACTGGCAAAGGAAACAGCTGGGAAAACACCACCTTAGGCTGCTCCAAATGCAAATATATGGTCCCAGCTATGCCGTGGGAGGGACTTTCTGAAGGTGTCTAAGCAGAGTCTGACCTTAAATAGTTGGGGTTTTTTTCCCTTTTCAGTCAGGACCAAGGAACCAGTGCCTCAGAGGACCTGAGCTTCCTCAGCACTTGCACCCTGTGTCAGTGCTGAGCTGCACGAGCTTCTCTGGAGTGGAAAGAGAAATCCGCATGCTCTGGTACACATTGAAACAACTAGTAAATGTCAACTCTGAGGGAGGCCCAGGCTGCTGTTGAAACTTATTATCTCATGTCAATGCTTGAATTTTTAATCCCACGTGAGATACTAACATGTTCAAGTTAGACTTGATGGCCAAGTTAGGCAAAGGGACACAGGCGTCTTGTGCAACTGTGGGCGAGAGCAGCTGACACAGACATGCCTGAATTTTGATCAGACATACTCACAAACACCCTGGTAGGTTCCCTGTGGTGAAACCTGCATTGCCTGAGCAAATGACTGTGCAACAGTGGAGAGGGGCAACAACAGGAATAACAGCAGGTAAGCATTGGCAAGTGACTCTGTTAATTAGCAGTGATATTAATAACAGCGTATAAAGCTGGTGCTAGAGCAAGCTCCTTTGATAGGCCAAAGAGCAGTGAGCACGCTAAGATAGAAAGGTTTGGGGGATTTGTGCTTGTTTTATTTATTAAGGAATTTAAAATAATGACTGATAGGGAAAAGTGAGTGCAAGTGTTCTTGGGTTTGTGATTTTTTTTTTCCTTTTTATCAACATTCTGTGCAGCTTGTCATGGGCTTTCCTTTGGCCAACTGCTCTTTTTTACATTACCTCTGTCATTTAGGCTAAAATATCAGAAGGAAGGGAGAGAGGGCTCTCATCAAGCTTGTAGGTGTTAAAAACTGCCTCATTAAATCTCTCTCTCAAGGTTCTTCAGGATGTTTTATTTTTTGTTTTGCATCATACTGTTCCAATTTACTTTTGGAGGTGAGAAGCAGCTACCTTTGTCCAAATTTTTTTTTTTATCTTAAGTGTTAAAACAACCACATGTCTTTCCATTTTTTGAAGGATGTGAACTTTTGGCATACCCAGAAACCAGTTCATAAAACAGTGCTTTTCTGCACTTTCACTTCCTTGGCATTTCCAAGTAGTTGAAGTTCACAGTGAGAGACTCACTGTATGAAACTCACAATAGGCTCTAAATTCATGTAGTGTTACAGACTTTCTGTTTGAGTTTTATTTTGGAACTCACAGCCACGTTAGCAGTAACAGGAGTCCTCAAGACACGATGCCTATATGGCCCTGCCACGAGGGGAATCCCAGAATGTTTCAAAACATAGGCTGGTCTCTCTTTTTTTTTTAAACT